AAATATTTAGATCATCCGCAAGGAATATAAAGTTCGACGCCAGTACTCCTGCGCGATCGTTTATATACTCGATGAATAGCTGTGATCTTAGTGCCGAGCCTTGAACAATGCAACAGTGAGCCTTTTCTGATCGGACAGGTTGCTACGAACTCTAACATTTCAGTGCCATTGGAGTAGTAATAAATCTATCCAGTCAAAGATAGGGCCAACTGTCCAATAGCTTCGAAGCTTGTGAAGAAGAATCCGGTAATCAAGGCGTTCAAGTGCCTACGGGATATCAAGATATGCTGCATCAACTCCTTCCGACCAGCTAGCACGGAATAAGAACAGTTTCGTTGCACATGAATGGTTATAGCAGAATCTATGCTGCTTTTGCTCGATGATATTGTAGCTACCTAAATATCAAATGAGTGCTTCTGCAACGACATATCACACGACTTTAGCAAACACAAGAAGAGTAATCGAACGATAGTCTGGGAATACAACACATTTGCCTCCCTTGTAAGTGGGGATAGATATTGCGCGCTTCCACACCGCGCTTAAAAATTGAGCAAATAATTCACCCAAGTTCATTGTAGCAACACCAGTACTCACCTAACAAGGAATACAAGGCTCGGACGCTATTCCTGTCTTCATTGCTCCACCATCGCGTTTCTTCAGCCTCACTTACACTTCAGACACGGTGTTAAAATGCTGCTATCCTTTCACACATCCAGCTCACCTGGAGCGGGTAACATCCACCCGAAAACACTGCAGGTGGCAACTATGCACCTAGCAGAACCACTTGCTGGATTATTTCAACGCTGTCTAGAAGAGAACATACTTCTATCAAACTGGGAACGGGGTATTAATATCCTTATTCGCAGGAGACGAAGTTGATCTCAGCCTGCCAATTACCGCCCGGTAACGCTTCTTCTGGTACTCGCCAAAGTCATGGAAGCGACCATCACAGAAACACTGACAGGCTATCTGAAAAGCTCCGGTATCATCGCACCAGAGGAGCACGGGTTTCGTCAAAAGCGATCATCTATGAAACTGCTGATAGCACGCGAAAATCGGAACGAAACAGTCGACGTTCGATCATTTGCTCCACAGGCTTCAGAAATATGGCATCGGAAATCCAGTACTCTGATGGATCGGTAACTTTCTGCGAAGGACAATTTGGCAATAGAGTCCGGACATCTTTTTCCGACCCAATTCAAGTCGAGTGCGACGAACTGCATGTTTCGATACTTGAGCCTCGATTGATACATTAACAATCTAGCGAGAGTTATCACCTCAAACATTTTACTCTTCGCGGGCGACTTTAAACTTTAACGGGTGATCAAGTGCTTGGACGACCATGAGATCCTCTAGCGTGACCTCGGTGGGGCGTGGAATTGGTCAGGGAGGAACGCGCTGCAATTCAATGTGGACAAGTGTCGAGTTGTTCACATCCGCCACCGATACGTCTACATCCACAGGTTTGGGGCACACGATTTGCAGACCACCTCAGGAATGTGACCTCTGTGTTTTCATAGCGGATGACCTCGACTGTTCCAGACATTTTGAGTTCACTTCAAAATGTACTAACCAGCATATTGGTTTTTTGTGGGGTACTCAGGAGTTTGGATTCATCCATCTTCTCTCTGATGTGCAATGCGTACGTGCGTCCCACGTTGAATAAGCCAAAGCATGTCCTCGCAGCGCTCAAGACCCCCAACGTCGAGCAACGAGAAATGTCAAGGATTTGCACCAACTTCCGTACCAGGAATGGCTAAAGAAACTCGGCATACTCAGTGGACGCTACCGACGGCTAAGTGGAGACCTCATAATAGTATACCAATTACTGAGTCATCCTAGTCACGTTTGTCGCTATCTTCTGAAACCTGGCCCGAACACCAACCTGAGAGGCTTGAAACTGCGTCAACAATACAGTTGTCTAGATTGTCGACTCTTACTTCTCCCTCGTGATTTTCCGCCCATGGAAATCTCTTCTAAACTCAGTTGTCTGTGCCCCCAGCTTAGCTATTTTTACAAAACGCTGGTATATCGTATTGGTGTCCCTACACTTGTTACCTAGGCGGATATTTTGGAATGTATTTCGGTTAACTAGCATTTTGGACTTATACTCCACACTGATGCACATAAATTAGTGTAAAGCTCCGAGTAATACGCTTATTCTTAACAAGGAGCATTAACCATATTACCGTTTATTCCGTTTTCCACGATACTATGTGACGGCCAACGTCCTTGGACAACAATTTGGCCGTACTTTCCAAAGCGCGCAATCACCATGCATCCTGCCTAAGCAGATAATGCCGCCATCAGGGCTTAATCACAAATCGTTTACCTCCGCAGCTGTACTGGAGAGGCTGTTGTCTCTGCTCGAGTTCAGCTCCCCGGGTGTGGACGGCATTCTACCGAAGGCGTTGAAAGTTGCTGCCATGAGTTTGGCAGGACCATTCGCAATTTTCTTTCAACGATGTCTGAACGAGATGCACGTCCCCACGCTGTGGAAGCACGGAATCATCACGCCTATCTACAAAAGTGGTAGCCGTGCTGAACCAGCAAACTATCGCCCGAAAACACGACTTCCTGTGATCTCCAAGGTTATGGAGTCCATTGTAGCTGAGGCTATGATGGGGTACCTGGAGAACAACCAAATTCTCGTTTCGGAACAGCATGGATTTCGCCAAAATCACTCCTGTACAACTAATCTCTTGATTACTCTTGAAAGCTGGACGGAATCCGTGGACGCTGGTGTAGGAGTCGACGCGGCCTACTTGGATTTCTCAAAGGCATTCGACCGCATTGACCATCGCATTCTCCTCCACAAACTCCAGAAATATGGAATCGACGATCCTGTTCTGGGCTGGATAGGAGACTTTCGCATGCAACGTCACCTGAATGTGAGCGTTCGAAGCAACCTATAAGAATCCATCGAAGTTCAATGCGGCGTACCTCAGGGCTCGGTACTTGGACCCCGCCTGTTACTGGTCTTCATAAATGATCTCGAGCGCGTGCTATCTTCTAACTGTTTGCTATCTGCTGATGATCTAAAGGTATGGCGTACTATAGCTGCAGTGGAGGATCAAACAGCGTTACAGGAGGACCTGGACAAAGCGTACACATGGTACATCGAGAACATGCTGCATTTCAACGTCACCAAGTGCAAAGTTCTCAGCATACGGCACAAGAGTATGCACAACTACCGCCTAGGACCACAAATTCTACAGCGGGCTTCTCATGAGTGCGATCTCGGTGTGATAATTCAAGATGACCTCGATTGTTTGAGGCAGACTGAAAAGGCATCTAAGAAAACAAACCAGTACCTCGGCCTTCTTCGTAGAGCCTTCGGGAAGTTTGACCCTTCAGTCTTTTCAAAAATGCTTAGTGCATACGTGAGGCCGCACGCGGAATACGCTATTCAAGCGTGGCAACCCTGGCTCAAGCACCATCTCACCGCGCTCGATACTGCACAACCTAGGGCAACGAAGAGCGTCAGAGGTTTGACCAACCTCCCCTACCCACTCAGGCTGAAGACCCTCAAAATATGCATTGGACGTTATCGGCGTCTAAGGGTCGATCTCATAATGATGTATCAGATCCAGAGAAACCCCAACCACCCATGCCATTCCCTTCTAATACTCAGTCGAAACACCCCGCTAAGCGGTCACCGGTTTAAGCTGGTCACGCAGTGCAGCCGCCTGGAATGTTGGCGAAACTATTTCTCCCTTCGAGTGGCACAGCCTTGGAACGCGCTCCCGGAACATGTAATTAATGCACCCACGCTATCCCTTTTCGCAAAGCGCCTTGACGAAACTCTGTCACATTTACACTACGTGCCATAGCCCATGACCACCAGATGCTGGCACTAATGCATAACAGACAGTGGACAGTGCCATAACCCTACTCGAGAATGAGTCATTCCAAACTCCTTGCACGAAATTTGATAAACGCTACTACTATAGAAACTGCACTACTGTATCCTGTCGACTTAAGATAGTTGCACACGAGTAAGCGTTGTCCTTGCTACTTGTAACTATTTTTCTCGCCTATGATGTGAACAATAACCACTCCCCTGTTGCTTTGTGTGCGTACATTCTCATTTCAAACTCTCTTTATACGACAGTGTAGTTACATCTGTAAGCGGCCGAACTGAAGACTCCATTATCCCTTGATCTATCTTTTTTATCACTCTAAACACTCTACGGGACATGTCAAGCACCTGCTTTTTTACCCGTTATAAATCATTGTTCATTGTTCTCACTACTTCTATTTGCCATTGCCGATTTTCCGATGTACACTTTATTTTGTCCTCATACGTACTCATCGAATTTTTAATTCCATCGCTTATCAACCCGCTAGACCAGTCAAACCTATGCATTTTCACCCGTCATTAATCATTGTTCCAGTGTGCTGGGCTGCTTACGGAGACTTTGCGTTTAATGTGTGTGCTGGTGGGCCCTGAGCTGCTGCCCTATTGTTCAGGTCGCTCTTGATGATGGCCACTTTTTGGATTAGATCCTGAAGTCTTTCATTAGAACCGGCTGTTAAGACCGCCTGTGTACTACTGATGCTGGTGGCGATGTTATTGATATTGATGTTGAAGGTGGTGGCAATAGATGTGGTTAGCATATCCTTATGACATCAGTTAGTTGATATTTTGCTGATATTACATTCATGTTATCGTTAATCTGGGGCATCTTAAGATGCTTCCACAAGTATGACAAACAGATCAGCACTGGTAATATTTATTTCCAGTTTGTGCGGTCTCATACTGCATTAACACAAACTTCATGCACTGATACAATGCATATGAACAACACGTCAGAACATGAAATACACTCATCTTGTAAATATTGCAGAATGGGAAGCATGTTGGCATATGGGTTTCCTTTGATCTGTTGCACATCATACTTGGTTAGCTTCATTTCGTTTTCCCCCCTGACACATGGTCACCTGAAATGTCTTTCTGATTGGGAAATGCTGACTGCCTTATCGTTTGCCTCACCTCACAGGCTTCTGAGGAATTCAAAGCGATTGCGATTCGCTTGTACGAGAAACCAAATTCGATTGAGGAGCTCACCGAAGTGCGGGAATGGATTTCCACCATTCCCGACAGGCTAGAAGAGCGGCAGGAAGGCATAGACAAAGCGATGTCTGATTATGAACTGATTGACGCCTTCTTCTACAACCTGTCGGCGGACGACTTCAACGCAAAGTGAGTATACCTAGGCATGTACGGTGGTTTCATTGTCTAAACTGCCGGTGGTAGTACGAAGGTCTGTCGAGCATATGTACGATAGGTATGATGGTCATTGATTTGAGCCGGCCTGATGACGAGTAGCAATGATCCCCCATTCACAGGTGGACTACAATCGGCTGGCCACACAAGATCAGGCAAATGATCATTCAGGTAGAGAAGAATTTGGAGGAGGATGAAGAGCGGTTCCGTAAATTACAAATATCTGAATCCTCCGCGTTCAGTGATAAGATTGACACACTCACGGTAAGTTGGAGTGGCTGTTATAATCACCAAACCTTATTTTCTCAGGTTTCCATCGTTACATTTCGGTTTCTTTTAGACCAAGGAGAAATGTGCTTGCTTGCTGACCGTAAAGCCGTACCGCAACACATCCATGGGTACTAGTTCCAAATTCACGAGGGCGATTGCCTCCTTTCCAGTTGACAGCTTCGCACTACTGTTGGCCGTGAAACCCGTAAACGTAATTTGTATACCGAGAATTTTCGGTCTTGCTCGTTCTCAAGACCATGTGCTGCAACCGGTTTCGTACTAATTTGGACTCTTCACATTCAGATAGTTGGAGCTGTCAGTAGAAGTTGGAACGTAGTGATTTACAGCTGACGCCTAGGCGACTGAGATCTACGAGCAATCCTTGACACCTTGATTAATGATTCAATGTTGGCTTTTGGAATCAGGCACTACGCGCAAAGTTCCACTCCCATCCCCGGCTATCTCCACCTGAAGTATGTAAACGAGGTTGAAACCAGTCGCGGAGCGAGTTGTTGGGAGCGGGCAACACAAAATCTTTCCACTGCGAATGCCGTCCTAGTGATCTGATTGATCGAGGTTTACTTTGAAGTGAATCGAGTTACCAATTGAGATCACCCATCACTCCGAAACCCGAAGTCTACTTTCACGCGTAACTTTTGAGGTCACAAGCGTTAAGAAAGAACTTTCTATTTGTGCTACATTTTTTCTTGGCAGAACTAAAGGAGGTTTAGTGTTGATCCGAAAAGCTACACACGTTAGACAAACGGCTGGATTTTCTGTCGTTACTCATGTGTAGCGGATTTTGAACCTTTCTTGGTTTATGGAATCACACACATTCTATTCTGCTAAAGAATAACTGAATTAGGGAAATCCGTGTTTCGCACAGATCAATGGAAAACTTGTCCTGAATTATATGCGCTTAGAGCCGGGGCTTGATCGCTACCGACGCTGGCTCAAACACCCACCAGCGGAACTTGTCGGATCGCATAAGTTGCCCTGTTGGCAGACAAACGCACATCTACATATATATATATATATATATATATATATATATATATATATATATATATATACCACCACAGCTCCACCCCCACACCCCATATCCAGTGTAAACCCGAAGGAATAAGACCGGGAGGCATGTAGATGGGAGCCACGTTTCATCAACTGAGCCAGCCCACACTCCTTCACAGGCAAACACAAGCACGTTGTATTTGGGGAATCAAGCGCACACAAGGCGGTGGCTGGACCGTAGTCCGCTCCACACTGAGTGCATGGAACCGCTCTTTGAGCCTAGCACGGCCAAAAGAACCGTGCACCCCGTCCCCTCCAGCAACGACCAACTGTCTCCTGGAGCCAGTATGAACGATGTAGTGGGTAATAGACAGGTAAGCACCTTGTCAACATACACATCAAGCGCAACCATACCAGGGATATCAAACAACAGCCATTCAATTTAAACGACAAGCTGAAATAAAATAAATCCAATAATGCATACAGATACGGTGGCATAACTCTTCGCTAAATTACCATATGAAGTAAGTTGGTCAGCAACAAATCCGTGATAAGTAAGAAATGTCCACAAGTTACTTAAAATGCTACAAACGCAACAAAATTACCGAAGATAAGCGCAATTAGTGTAAGCAACGTGGCCAGTTAATAAAACATTATTCAGGGAGGCAGAACAAACCAAATAAAGCGGAATGAAATTTAGCCAGCTTAAAAGACCTAGTTTAAGTGTAAGTTGGTTTAGCCCAACTGCGGTGAAGAAGCATCAAGAATGCAACATCAGCCTCAGCATGGGGCACATATATATATATATATATATATATATATATATATATATATATATATGCCGTCATTGTACACGTCAGCTGGAGGTGGAAAACACCTCAGCTATTGTGCCGCAATACCAAAGGCAAGAAAAGGGAAACAAACTGTGGCACACCGGCTGAATCCCCAGTAACGGATGGACATCGTTCCGGAGAGCTAACAGCTGGCTATCGTGCCGTAAAATGTGAGTCATATAATGCCTAACGGTTTAGATCGTGATTGGAGTGGGATGCTAAGCAGGAGGGGGATGGGTAAAGGAACTCACAACACAAACGCGATTGAGGCCGGCCCCTAGCGATATCAGCAAGTGTGTCCAATCAAACGTGTTCATCGTCCTTAAGACCCCAGCCAGGCAGTCGGGATGCACCAACCGACGCCAACTTCGAAGTGAGGGTTTTCATTTCTCTCGACCAAGTCATCACTTGGCCTCCCCTCCTCCTCTTCCAACCGCACCCACAACGCGCAAACAATGCACGTCGCGGAAGCGGTGTGCTGGCATGCGCAACACGTGGCCCAGCCATCGGAGCCTGGTGCGTGATATAATGGTGCTGAGCGGTTCACTCGCACTTCCTGCACCAAATACGCGACGTCGAACACGCTCATTGCTCGCGCGGTGTTCTTACCAGACATGAGCTAAGCTGCGAAGGCAGCGATGATCGAATATGACGAGCCTCTTTATGTCTGTCGACCTGATGGGCCAGGTTTCACAACCATATAGGAGAGTTGAACGGACGGCTGCGTTATAGACTCTGCCTTAGAGGGCGAGAGTACTGTCGCCTCTTCGCCACAGGTGGCGGAGATTGGCAAAAGCACCTCGAGCTTTTGCTATACGGTTCGTAACCTCATCTTCAATCCCACGGGTGCTAATATAGCTGCCCAGGTACTTGAATTCCTGAATGACTTCTAACAGATCACCACCAAGCGTTAGCGCAGGGTTGGCTCCCTGCCAATCTTGGAGAAGTACTTTGCATTTCGGTGGAGCAAAGCATAGCCCAAAACAATTGACAGCCAGTGCTAATCGGTCCAATGCTGTTTGGCATGTTTGGGAGCTGTCACAGATTAGGGCAATATCGTCCGCATACTCCAAGTCAAGAAATCGCTCCACACCTTCTAGGTCGTGTTCAGCGAACGCTGTTTCCATAACTTCATCAACAGCGAAGTCGAAGAGGAAAGGTGACAGCGGGCGTCCTTGTCTCACACCGCCGGTGATACTGAAGGGTGGCGAGAGTTTGCCATAAACCCTCACCCTGCCCGAACTATGCGCGTACAGCGCTTTGATAACGTTTACATATTTATCAAGCACACCTTTCCTCAGCAGACAGTCCCAAAGGGCACATCGATCGACTAAGTCGAAGGCGCCTTTTATGTCAAGAAACACGACAACGGTGGGTCGCCAATAAACATGGCGGTGCTCCACCAATTGACGCAATGTGAATATGTGGTCGATGCAGCCCCGACCTCGACGAAATCCGGCTTGCTCTTCACGAATCTGGCTTTCACGAGTGTCAGTCAGTCTGTGGAGAATGACAGAGGCAAGCAATTTAGAGACAATCGAAATCAGACTGATTCCTCCATGATTGCCGCATTCCAAACGGGAGTTTCCCTTGAAAATTGGGACAATGACAGAGCGGTTCCAGTTTGTCAAGACAGTCTCCTGCTCTCAAAGTTTCACTAGCAACTGGTGTAAATCATCTATTAGAGCAGGTCCCCCGAATTTGAAAAGGGCTGGGAGAATTCTATCTGCCCCTGCGGCCTTATGCAATTTCAACAGCCTGATCTCACGTTCGACTTCTGCGCGTGAGGGCGGATCCGAGGAGACGGCCCAGGGAGAAGGGCGCTCAATGCCCGAAGAAGAAAGCGATAACGCAGGTTGGTTAAATTGCCTTGCAAAGTGTTCAGCCCAACGCTCCAAGCGTTTTGACAGGCTGTGGATCGGCTGCCCACTCTCGTCGCGTATGGTCTCGCTAACACCAGGTCTCCTGCTGCCTGTTTCCCATATCAGACGGAATAACTTACGATGATTACCAACGGCAGCGGCTGTTTCCATCTCAGAGGCATGATGAGACCACCAGATTTCGCGGTCTTTCTTCAGGCTAGCACGTAGTTTTGCCCCGAGATTTTTGCGAGCCTCATTGTATTCGCTTCCAGCCGGAATACGTCGGCGAGCATCCATAATTTCCAGAGACTGTGTAGAGACCCAATGTCCGGTTTGGCAATTTGCTTTGCCACATGAAGACATGCCTGCTAACAGCAACGTTTTACAAATATGCGACCAGTGATCTTCGACGGTATTTAGTGGGCGCTTACTCAGCCCAGATGTCAGTGCACTTTGATACACATTCAGACCATCTGACTTCGCCAGCTGGCTGGTGTCAATCCGTTCACATCGACGTTGCGGACGTCCACCGAAACGCACCAGGAGGTCAGCACAGACAAGTGCGTGATCAGAGTCCACGCTCGTGCTCCAAATCGAGCGGCAGTTTTGGACACAGCCTCTCCAGCGGTAACTGATCGCGATATGATCGATTTGCGTCCATGGTTGGCCCGAGGCTGGTGGCCGCCAAGTCACGCTTCTGCGGGTGCTGTGTCGAAAGTTAGTGCTCGCGAGATAGAGGCGAGCATCTTCACACAGCTGTAGCAATCGCTCACCATTATCATTACGGGAGCCTACACCATGTTGGCCGCCCAGATGAAGCTCATCAGAGGACAATTTTTCGACCTAGGCGTTTAGATCGCCAGCCAACACAACACTATCCGTGCTTCTTCTGTAACGAGGGAGCTCGTGAAGTTGCTGGTAGAAATCATCTTTTACCGGATCAGTGCTACAGTTTGTAGGGGCGTATGCCGCAATGACAAACAGGCACCGTTTGTCCCCGCGCGACTTCATAGCACGGAACGAACCAGCTAATCTAACGGCGCACATTCTACTGTTTACTGGAATCCAATCGATCAGGGCAGCTTCAGCCCGGGGACTCAAAATAATGCCGATGCCAGCTTGACCGGCATTTGAATGAGAATGTGCCGCCAGTGTCGCATGTGGGGGATCTCAGGATAAGCACGGAGCTGGAAGCTTGCAGGCGGGTTTCTGATAAGCCGCAAATATCGATCGATAGGGTCTCTAGTGTGCGGGCAAGTGCTGCCTGTTGGCCAATCAGTAGCAAAGT